CTACATATGCATATAAAAGAAAATTATATTATGCAAACCTCTCTGAGAAAAACAAAATACTGCCCAAGATCAACAGTGCTTGGCATTTGAGCAAGAGACCTTCCCATTGGCTCCAGCCCGTGACCCATATTTTTTTTTTATTTTCCAGTCCCAGTGTCAGAGATATAAAGCAAGATTTCTATTTCTAAAAAAATTAAGAATGATCTAGATGAGCAGGAATGAAAAGCTAGGGAGATTAGGGACATGAAAGTTATGCCATATGCCACCCCTTGGACAGGATCTACCAGGTTGAGGGATTAGCCCTTTCACTTTCCAAAGCTGAGATTGGTGGCTTTGGTCAATCCAGTTATACTGTAGAAACCCACACCCAGCTGTGGATCTGGATAAAACACAGCAAGAGGGTGGGAATGGTGAATCTTATGAAACCCGCCTTGCCCACAAACAACACTTCTTTCTCAAGGGCAAAAGAGATGGTTAACATACCAAAAGTTCTAACCCATCCCTGACCTGGAATCGAAAACCCATCGCCTTTGGTTTAGGAAATACTCAGCTACTGGTTTGGTTTGGCATAAGGCTGCTTCCTATGAAGACTGAAGCTGGTGCCTTTGCACCAGGCACTGGACAAACTGAATTCAGACAACAGACTAAAGCGCGATTGTGGTACAGAGCAATTGGTCTCTCCACGACACCATTTTAAGAAAAATACAAACTTATTAGCCTTTCCTGCAGTGTCTGTTTTAATCTGCTGTGTGACTCTGAACGCTGATGCCCTGTTTTTTATGCTGTTACCGATTTTTTTTAATGTGGCTATTATTTGTTTTATGATGCTATAATATTTTAAGACATTGGTGTATTTTATTTGGATTTGATGGTTATTTGATGGCAGTGACCTTGGAGCATTGCTGGGAGTGTATTAATATGATAAAGGTCAGTTTGGTCTAATGCAGGGGTTCTCAGCCTTGGCAACTTTAAGACTTGTGGACTTCAACTCCCAGAATTCCTCAGCCAGCTTTGCTGGCTGAGGAATTCTGGGAGTTGAAGTCCACAAGTCTTAAAGTTGCCAAGGTTGAGAACCCCTGGTCTAATGGTTAAGAAACTAGATTAGAAACCTGGAAACACTGAATTCAAGTCCCTCCTTAACCATGAATGTCAGCTGCATGTCTTTGGGCCAGTCATTCTTTCTCAGCCCACCCTACCTCACAAGATTGTGGCTGTGGGGAAATTAAGAGAAGGAAGAGGCATAAGATATGCTCACTGCATTAATTTATTGGTAAAGATAATAAAGATGGGATAGACATAAATAAATAACCTAACTAAACTATTTAATCGCTGATTCAAAAACATTGTTAAAGCAATGAACACATTTCCATGACACATTAAACCACTAAGCACTTAGACTAGATTAGCCTTAGACTAGACTAATGTTGGATTTGTTATTTTTTTTTTTTTGAGCAACTATATGGGAAGCCAACAAAGTCTTCCAGAATAAATCACTTTTTTGTTTGTTTTTCACATTTTTGAACTGCCCATCTCCCTCCCTGATTTTGGTCCAGAAGCAGATCGTGTTTATCGTTAATATTGTCAACATTATCATTATCATCAGTGATTTAAAGTTGTGTTATCTTGGATGCTATTTTCTGCCCTCTGCGAAGCTTTGACTCAAAATTGGGGGCAAGCTTTTGAAGTCTGGATGGGGTAGCCCAGGGGTGGGGAACCTTGGCTCTTTTATGACTTGTGGACTTCAACTCCCAGAATTCCTGAGCCCGCATGGCTGGCTCAGGAATTCTGGGAGTTGAAGTCTACAAGTCATAAAAGAGCCAAGGTTCCCCACCTCTGGAGTAGCCATTCAGAAAATGTTAATGCACATTTCCCCACGGTTGGTATTTTGGAAGCTGATCGCTAAAGTTAATGGTAAAGCGTGGATTCTTTTCTACAGAAACGGTCCAGGTTCAGCCCTAGTAATCCACCTCAAAAGAGGAGAGAATTCGTGAATGGCCTCTGTGTGAGAGTTGCTACTAGTTAAGAGTAATTAGATTTCATGATCTGGAAGATTAGATTAGATTAGATTAGATTAGATTAGATTAGATGGTTAAATCCAGATTGTCAAGGAGGTTTTTTTAATCACGTAGGAATCCTAGGTTGTTAGGCTGTCATGCTCCCAACTTCAACTGAAGAGAGAAATGCCTGCAGGAGCCTTTCCTAACCAGGTGCCCTCCAAAATGTGTTGAAACCGCGTGATGAGATTGTAAGGGTTGAATTCCTACCCCCCCCCACCCCCATGGGCACCAGGATGAGGTCTGCTGCTGCGCAATTTCTAGGCATAGTAACGCTCTTCCTGAGTCTCCCACATCTCCCCAGTTCAAACCACTATGTACAGTATACTGGGCCATATTCTGTAATATACCGGTATGTAACGTCGTTAATTCAACTTTAACCGGGTTTAAATCTCTCTCTTTTCCTTGACTGCTATGGCTAGTCTTCTTAAAATCCGGGGGATCTGCATTTTTCTCAGGGGTAGCAATAGCATTACGGCTGTGTTTCTTTTAAAAAGCACTAAAACTGGTGTTTCCACCTCTCTTCTTCAGCTCGGAACTCAATGATCAAGGCAGCATTCTTATATATACCCTTAACTGGAAGACTCACTGACAACAGGGGAGCTGGCTTCTGTGTAGATATATTTCGGATTGCAGAGGGCAAGTGCTGGCTTCTGTATCTCCTTCTCTGTAGCTTTACTGTAATCCAGTGTTTCTCACCCTTGACAATTTTAAGGCATGTGGACTTCAACTCCCAGAATTCCACAGCCAGCATTGCTGGCTGTGGAATTCTGGGAGTTGAAGTCCACATGCCTTAAAATTGTCAAGGGTGAGAAACACTGCTGTAATCACTCCTTGTGAATGCAAAGTCCGTTGGATTGGTTCCCCCCTCCCTCCTAACTTAATGGAAGATGGGGTGCATCTTTAGGATCGCTTTAAATACAAGCGTTAGGATTTAGCTCTTGGATTTAGAAGGCATCCCTTCTAGAGGCATTTTGAATCCGATTGGAGAAAGGATGATATTCTTTCACCTAACCTCAAAGGACTGATCTGTGCTAAGCCCTTCTCCGGCCCGTTAATTTCTTCTTTCCCCAAATTTGGGGGGAGAAATTCCTGCTTTCTTCTTGGGGGGGGGGTTTGCGGCATTTCCTGCCCCCTGTTCTCCACTCCGCCTGCCACGACTGAGTAGCTTCTGCCGCGGCCGCGCCGTCCGTCGCTTTAATAAGGCTTGGAGGGATTTACGCGGCGTGTGTAGCCCCTCATAGCCCTGGGAGGTTAAGGAGAACCGGGCTACGGTTAGTAAACAAATTGTGGAGAAAAGCTTCGGATTCTTATTGATTTACTTATAGGTCATCTGCTGGCGGCGCTTAGGGAGAAACTATTTACTTTATACATATACTGTATGATCTTGGGGGAATTAGAGGCAATCCAGTAAGAAAAGAGCTAGAATCATTGAAAGCCCCTATTTAAAAGACTTAAGCAAATTAGAGTCTTATCAGCTTAAAACCCACTACAAATGTAAGAGAATTGTCTGCATCCAAACGCTGAGGGGTCCCGAGGAGAGGCAGGTCGCTGCCAAATCTGATGGATAAAAGCTTCCTCGTTTAAAGAGCGGATAATGAGCAGCATGTAAATTAACGAGACCTGCTTTTCCTTAGCTTTACTGCTAAAATTATAAACGGAGTTTAGCGGGGAAGGCGACAAAAGGGGCGGGCACCCGTCCCTCCATAAAGGGCGGGGGTGGGGGAGATGGAAACGGGGCTGGGGTTGAAGGTGACCGGCTCAGGCATCCTCCCTACGGCACCATCCAGGGATCAGCGGCGGCTTACTTGGGTGCATCCCCAAAAGCGGGACGCCGGGGTCCTGCGAGTCTGAGCCTAGCTCTCTCATCCACCAGGCTGAATCAATCCTCCTGCTAAAGCGGCTGCGAGCTCCACGGTTTTAACAACTGGGAATCCAGAGTGAAATCCGGATTACTGAGGAACGAATACAAAGCACCTTTTAAACCAGCCGAGGGTACCATAAATCGAGGGGATTTTTGCGGGAGATAGAAAGACAGCCTTGCTTTGGGGTGTTCGCACTGCCCCGCACTCTCAAAGGATAGATAAGGTTTCCCAGCCCGCCTAGAAGCAAAGTCTACCCGAGATTCTCTTTGCCTTTCCCTAAAGGTTGTAATATAATACCGCCCTAAAAAACCACACAAAAAAACAACCCGAAAAGGGAAAAAATAGCCAATTTCACCTGTACAGAGGCATGGCAGAAAAGCGCATTTCTGTTTTATTTAGTTTTGTTCCCTGAAATGCGGAGCTGCTGCTGTGTAGGGAGGCTGGCTCAAATGCGTGTCTTTTTAAAAAGAGATTTAAGCCCCAATTTTGTCGCAACGTTGCAACAAGTTCCAATGCTGTATTTGCGGGTAGGAAACACAATTCCAGCAGAGTAAAATCACGTAGTGTTAGTTCCCGATAGCGGCTCAGTAAAAGGTATATTTTAAGGTCCTTTCTCTGCGGGGGAGCCTCGTTGACTTTGACGTTTACCTAAGCTTGTTTTAAGTGCCAGGCGAGAACCAAATTAACCATTTTTTTCAGCATCTGTTTTATTTCTAGGGATTTTTTTCATTCTTCTTACCCCAATTTTCATTATCAGAAAATGAAATATAGCAAAAGGATGTTAGGGACTTCTTTTATTTTAGAAATTGCGAAAATATAGTGGCATGTTAAAATAGGTAGACAATGCGTCAGTTTTGGTTTTACTGGGGGCAAAGGTGCTCAACCACCAATTGCGACCGTTTGTTGATGGATACTGGCTTCAAATCTCCGCGGCCTTTACAACAAAAGGGTGAAATGTGTTTGGGATTACAAAGATCTTTTAGAATCCGAGAGGTAGACAATTATAAAGAAGTACATTAAGATCAGTGAAAATCATCTGAAGTAGTTCAAAGTCACCGGGGATTTTAAACCATACTATTGCAACCGTTAATCGGGGACATTTATTACGTTGTGTATTCAGTGTAATAACAATTGACAGCCGCGAATCACAGACTGGGTCCTAAGTGGTTAAGAAGCTTCTCTGCGCTTCTGCGGTCGCCTCCTTTTCGCTCACTTCGGCTGCTTCTTCTAAAAAGTGTAGTTCTTCTTCTGCAGTCACTGAAACAAAGGTCCGAGGTTACCGCAAAAAAAAAAAAAATTCTCCAGGCTGCGTTTCTCCCCCGGGGATACCTGCTTTCTTTTAATCTAAGGGGAAAGGTCCTTTGTGTGCTCAGGGAGCGGTGTGAAGACCGTCGCCTCCCAGATTGGGGTTTGCCGAGCGGCTCCAAGAGCCCTTGCAGGCATCTCCGAAATAAAGGCAGGAGAAAAGCTTTTTCTTCTGCGGCTTCCAGGTGGAAAGCTTTTAGGTAATAAGAAGGTTGCCTCGTCGACGGATTTCCTCCCCGTCCCTGGTTTTTCCCGTTTTCCCTTTGCTGACTTGCAACGCGTAGCTTGAAAATTTGACTGGAGGGAAGGGGTTCGGGGAAGGGGGGTGGGGGGGGGGAGAGGGAGAGGGAGAGAGACGAAGAGCGAAGGTTTCCATCGAGCCTTGCCCTAAGTTTCCGATAGGCTGTTCTTATTATAGCCTGCGCCGGGGCGTTGCGCTTTCGGATTGGTTGCGCTCCGCGTCAGTCTTGGTCTCCGCAGCGAGTCTGGACCGCGGGGGGAAGGCTGGAAGGAGGAGAGAGAAAGGGGCCGGGTGATATCACTGGCCCGGCCAGGCGGCCTCCGCGTTTAAGGTGTTGGGCAAACAGGGAAGCCAGTGAGCAGCCCGGGTCTCCCAGCGCCCGCCCGCCCGCCGCCCGCCCGCCCGCCCGGCAGAGCTGCCCAGGAGGGGAGGGAAGCGGCGGCCACCGCCAGGCCAGAACGCGCGCGGCTCGCCCCGGGATCGCTGGCTCTTCTGCAGCCGGCCTCGCTTTGGATCTACCGCGGTCTACCTGCGCCGGATCGCCTTGGCCCGCCCGCGAGCCCCGCTCTTGGTGGTTATTCATGGTCTGCGCCGTCCGCCTTGGGAGTCTCCGGCTCGGCTTGCCCGCGCTCTCCCAGCGGGGGCGCTTCTGCCCGGGGAGCCTCCGCTTGGCAGAGGCTGATGCGGCGGGGCTCGGCGTTGGACCGGGCGGGGGGCGGCCAGGGAGCTCCCCTGCCTTGAAGTTCGGACCGGATTGACCGCCTACCTGCTGATCGGCCGGGAAAGAGCGAAGTCTGGCCAGGGGGCTCCGGCAGGCGCCTCTTCTGGGCCACCGACCGCCCCTGGCAGCGGCTCACCCTCCTCCACCGGGGCTCCTCTCCGCCAGCGCTCAGCCCCCGGCCGCCCGGCCGCCCGGGCTGGCTGGCTGGCTGGCTGGCTGGCGTCGCTCGATGAACTGCCTGAAAGAACCTCTCAGCCTGGAGCGTTTGGGAGCCGGGAATAAGCTTTGCTCCACCTCCCCTTCCTCTTCCTCTTCCTCCTCCGCCTCCTCGTCTTGCCACCACCATCACCACCACCACCACCACCATCACCACCAGCAGCCGGCCCTGCTTATGGCTTCAGCCCTGACCCCCGGCCAGCCGCGATCGGCCCTGGACACTGCCAAACATCGGCTGGAGGTTCACACCATCTCCGACACCTCCAGCCCCGAGGCCGCAGGTAAGGCGCTTCTTGCCCCAATCCAGCCACTAACCTTCCTCGGCTTCTCGCTTTAGAGACACTCTTCCCCCATTGTAATTCAGCGACAACTTGGCGGCCTATGGACCTGATCCGTTATTTCCATAGTTAGAAATTAGAAAGGTAGAGAACAGCAAAGGAACATCAACAACAACAAAATGCAATTCTTCACTTCTTTTAAGGTGGGGAAGAAGAATCAGACTGTGTCGGGTATTTGCCGCTTTTGGTATAGGGAGGGCAAAGAATGGGGGCAATTTTTAATACCCTCTTCTGGGCCAACCTTTGTGTTCGCCAGGGAGAGAAGCTGGTCGGGCAGCAACCCAACGGGAGCTCGGACCACTAAGGTGCAAGCCGTCAGAGCAACAATTCTCAGGAATATCACCTGATTTAGGCAGTCTTTATCTCTCTCTGAAAAAGAGTCACTAATTGAACTCTTTCCTTACTGGAAACTAAAGGGGGGGGGGAAGGGGGAGCTCTTGAAATAACTAGGTTGTTCAAAATCTGAGATTAGTGAAAATAATGTGATTGCAAAAGAGCAGAATTCAGAAAACCTGAAACTGTTTGGCTGTAAGCCTCCATGCAACTTTCTGAGACTTTCCAAAAAGCTGCATTGGGAAATTCTGCTAAAGCATGCACAAGATGCTTCTGAAAGACAACGCCACTCCTATCTGTGCTTACTCAAGAGTAAGTCCTGTTAACTGGATGCCTTTAGAATTAATGTGCAAAGAGTTCAACTGCAATTACAGTTCGTGTGTGCAATAGCTCAGAACTATCTGTCAGAATATGCAATGTACAGTATTTTAGCCCAAGTAAATATGGTCAACTTTAGTTCAGGTTCAACCCCCAAGTCTTGGGTTAACACCACATACATTTTTATTTGGGACTAAATCCACAGATAAGTTGACCTTCTGAGTAGAATAATGCAGATTTTCACTGGATATGGACCATGGATTAGAGTCACCACCTCAAATTATACTAAGGTCAAACCATTTTAACTCATAAATTAATACTAATTTATATAAAGGACAATCTTGAGACCTAAAGAGATCAGTGTATCTATCTTTATATGATTCATAGATATTTGCTGCCATTCATATTGTACATAAAACGGTGCTGCAGTGCATAAAACAACTGCTTCTGAAAGGATTCTCAGTCTGATCGCACTTTTTGAGACATTCGGCATTTGTTCCTTTTGGTAGTTTGTATCAATCAAGATATTTATATATTGTACAGTATATATAATTTCTGGATGCCCCCAAAGTGGGCATGTCTACAAATGTAAGCATATGCAAGATAATGCTCTGTACTTCTAAAATCTTGAGAGGTAATTTCTAATGAATACATACCTGTATGTCCTTTTAAAAGCTTTTGTGTGTGTGTGTGTGTGTGTTTGTGTGCCCTAAACCAGGGCAATGGAGCTTATTGTCAGTAGATTCATGTTCTATATTACGGAAGATTTGTCAGTTCAGACTTGCATTGTCCCACTACAATCACCGGTGGTTGTATATTTAATTGCAATAAAACCGTATGCTTAAGGGGGAAGGAGTGAGCAATCCCTGGAATATTCACAGCAAACCTGCTTGGACCTGGCAGTTTGAACGCACAGGCTGGGAGTGATTAATTTACACCATCCGCGTTCCAAGTCTAAGCAGGTATCTTTTGCAGTGGGAATCCCCTTTTCTTTTCCTTCCTTTCCCATGTTCAGCCGATGGTTTTTGGTAACATTTCCAAAGCCCGGGAGAGTCCACAGCACAAGGAACCCACTCACACCTGTGTGGCACTCGTCCTGCAGACAGGCACTCCAAGGATGAGAGCGCGCTTTTCCATTCTCAGTTGGGTTGTTTCACTGGGAAGGAAGCGCCTTCATTTCAAGCAGCCCTTCGGATTTCTACTTCTTCTCTCCGGAGCTCCCGTTCCTGATTGCACGCCTGGGTTGTCGTTTTGTTTTTGTTTTTTTTTAGTGGTTCTTAACTCGCGTTTTAACCGTATCGCTGTGGCGCTGGCTCCTTCCGGATGGTGCACGCCGAGTCCCCTTGGCTTTCAGCGGCGCGGGCTGAAAGGAAGCGGGGTGGGGGGGGCAGCCCTTCCCAGAGGCTGGCCTCGCGTGGGCTTCCAGTCGCGGGCCTGGGAAGCCGGCCGGGGGCCCGGGGGCGACTCCTTTTGCTCCTGCCTTGCCTTGCCTTGCCTTGCCCGCCGCCGCCGCGCCTCCCCTCCTCTCCTACCCTCCCTCTCCCCGACGGGCCCCCGTGACCCGACGCTGCTTTCCCTTCCGCAGAAAAAGAGAAGAGCCAGCCGAGCAAGAATGAGGAGGCGGGCGCCGAAGATCCGTCCAAGAAGAAGCGGCAGCGGCGGCAGCGGACTCACTTCACCAGCCAGCAGCTGCAAGAACTGGAGGCCACCTTCCAACGGAACCGCTACCCGGACATGTCGACGCGGGAGGAGATCGCCGTCTGGACCAACCTGACCGAGGCCAGAGTCCGGGTAAGAGACACGCCGAGGTGCGAGGGGGCCGCTGGGCGGGACTTCGCGGGGAGAGGACGCTTTCGATTTCGCCTCCGGCGAGGCGGGCTTTGGCCGGGCGCAGCTCCTCGGCCGTGTCTGTCAGGCCCTGACGGATTGCCTCCCCCCTCCGAAGATGATGGATGGCCCCGACTGTGCGGCGTGTTCCGAACGGGATGCGAAGGAGCAAAAGGGAACCTGCGCCAAGAAAGCGGCTCAGGGCAGGCTCCGACGTGCGCCCAGCCCAAATGCGCCAAACGCCAGGCCTCGGCCGCCTTCCCGGGGCCCCCGCGACGCTCCCTCCTCTGCATTCTTTGCTCCCCCCCCGCCGCCGCCCTCCTTCCCCTCCGCTTTCACAACTCCGGTGGCTTATTCCCCGTCCCTCTTCTCGCCTTAGATTTATGGCTCCATCGCAAAGCCCCTGAAATCCGACAGGATCAGGCAGCTCAGTCGGAGGGGAAGAGAAAATAATAATAATAAAGCTTCCCCAAAGCGCCGAGGAGGAAGGGGGCGGGGACGGGCCCTTTTTCTACCGAGATTATAGTTCGCGCGTGGTAGGAAAATCAGTTGGAATCCAGCGCGGCTGTGGAGTTTTCCTGGTGTAAACTGAGTTTAGGTTTTAGGCAGAAATTCGTAGCTGGGGCTCTCTTAATTCGATGGCATTAGTGACTGTAAAGCTCCGAAGGGTTTGAATAATTACTACTGCTCGGAGTCAGGAAAGCTGGTAAGTGAACCTTTGGATTTGATGCCAAGGTTTACTTGAAGTCAGTGAAATGAAGGTTGTGTGTGTGTGTGTGTGTGTGTGTGTGTGTGTGAAGATGCCCAGAGAAGCAAAGATCAGCTTGTTTCAATGTTGTCGCTGCTGTTGTTTCATACACACGCGCACATACACATTCACGGACATACACACATAAGAAAAGGGGGAGGGGGGAAGGAGCAATTAAAAAAAAAACAGTGGTGTAAAAACCACACAGTTGTTTTCTTGGACGGGAGTGAAAAAGACTCTCCAAAACAGTTGCTATGAAAGGGAAGAACTTACTTAACCATGTTCCTTTCCAAACTTTTGTCACTGAAGAATAGAGTGGAAAGAACTTCGTGACAAAGTTATCCATATTTACGGAGGGGGGGGCAAGTGTTGCATTTCCAATGTAACGTCTTTCCTAGATTAAATGAACACCAATCAATTCCATACCGTCCATTGGATGAATCCCTTTTAATTGCAATAGAATCCCTTTTAATTGCTCAGACAGTATACAAAATCCCAAAGTTTTTTTTAAAATTAAAAATCGGAAGGGCTGGGACTCAAGTTTAGTGCAAATAAACAACACGCGACTGGGGAAAATAGGGCAAAGTATAAGAAGCTGATCCTTTTGCCTTCCTCAGTCAATTCATCCGGAATTCCTGCGGTTCAAACTATTTAAACCGAAGTGCTTGCATTTAAGCTGGCCTCGAATTGAGTCCTCGGCTTGGAAAATTTCGGAAACAATGAGGAAACAGTGTATTGAAGCAGCCTTCCGGGTTCCTTTGCGACATTTTGGCTCTTTCTAATAGAATAGAATTGTTGCTCTTGAGATTTGGCTGTTGCTGCTATGATTGGGATTCTAGGCAAGTTTGTGTTTCTGTTGGATGCAATTACCCTCCGATTTCCAATTGTGCTGTTGTGGTGGCTCCAATCAGCAGTAAACCACATGGAGACTGATTTACTCTGTAGCAACATGTCGGATTGTCTTTCCAGGCGCCTAGGGAAAAAACAAACAAACTTGGAGGAGGGAAGCGGCCTTTACTCACAACTGAACAATGCACCTTCAGCTGCGCGCGATGCTGCAGTCCGATCTTCTGCTCCGAAAGCGCCTGGCTCTCTGCTCGTGGGGCCCTCAAAAGGCGCCCTGCCCTCCATTGTGGATGGCGGAAAGACGATCCACCCTGCAGGTTGTCTGCAGTCTGGAGCGGCCGCCTCAGCGTTTGGCCGTGCAGAGGGCAGTACGAAGGGCGGCCTAGATTGCGACTGGTGTGGCGCGGGGGAAGCGCGGAGGGTCTAGCTAGACCAGACCTCGCGTGGGGTCAACCAAAGAGCAGCGACAGTCCGAATCCACATAAGAAAGTGGCAGGAGGCGGGTGGGCCGAGCCGGCCACTGGGAATGTGGATTGGCGAAGGAGGCGCGCGCCTGCCGCCTTTGTCCTGGCGGTGGAGGCGCCCGTCCTTGGCGCGTTGAGAAAGAGCAAACTCTGCCAAAAGCGCAGGAGAAGAAGCTGGGGCGGACGCGGCTTAGCTCTGCTAATGATTAGCACATGAAAGAAAGACCCTCCCGTCACAAGCTGTTAAGGTAAAGGTTTATTCGAAGGTTTCTTAGCCGATATTTGTGTTGATTTCTGTTTTTCGGGCTGCTGGAGAGAAAATCATTGACCGGATTTAAATTTCAAGCTACTTCTGGCTTACTAATATAATCGTGAGGATCGTTCTTCCTCTCCCGTGTAGAAAATAGGTGTTAAAGCGGATTAACTTTCTTGCCTGAGACTTTTAGAGGTGGAAGGGAGAGTTAGAGGTTTGGAGAGGAAAAACTGAGCCCATCCCTTTTGTTCAAGATTACCACTCGGATCAAAATGAATGAAGTGCAGAGCAAGAGAGAGAAAGAGAGAGAGAGAGAGCTGGCAGAAACGCGGGGTGAAAACCAACCAGCAGATGCATAGGACGTTTTCTTGGCTAGGTATCAGAGTTTGTTATGAACTATCTTTGCCTTCGGACCTCAGCATACCTTTTGTTGGGGCTAGGAACAAAGTCCTCCCCGTCTCAAAGTCAGTTTCGGATAAGCATTTTTGTCCCTTTTAAGGAGAAGGAGATTGGCCTCTCTCTGGAGAAGCCTATTCGTTAAATTCGGCGCAGGCCAGCTCTTGTGTGCTTATTATCCGAATGTAAATGCCAGGGGTAGACCGCTTTGTTTACGCAGCTATAAATACGTTAATAAGGCCAGAGAAACAAAACCGTTCCCTCCTTGGACCAGTTTGTGTGAAAGGAGTAACATTCTAGGCTAAACAGGTTTGCCTGCTAACTTCAGCGAAATCCAAGGAAATGGCGTTCGGGGGGGCGGGGAGCGGGGGGAGGTCTCTGCCAACAGAACCTCGCGCTGTTTTACTGGGTCTTGGGCCTTTAACTCTGGAGCCCAGCCCGCACATTTCCGTGTAGGTTACTTAAGGTTTTCGTGGAAGGGAGTCTTGTTGAGAGCGAGATCTTGTGGGTCGTGAGGATGCCCAAGATTTTCAGCGGTGCTCTTCTCTCGAAAAACGGGAGGGCCAGGAGAGGCTCTTGTTAGATAAATAACGGTACATTTCACGTTCGGACAACTCTTCCAAGCCTTTTTTTCTCTCCCGCCCCTTCGTGTAAAGCAGCCTTGAAAGGCCTTATTTGCCATATCAGAGCGCGGCGCGCGTTTATTGTTCAGACTCAGCCGAAGGACTTAACATTCTTTTTTTTTAAGGCGGCCTAACAAAAAAAAAAAAAGAGATTTTTGGTAAAATAAAAACCAGTTAATATAGCTGATTAACTCCGAGGCTGGAGCAGGAGGGAAGGCAGCACTGAAGAAGTGTGCCTGTGTGTCTGTGTGGGGGGAGTGGAGGGGGGGGCTTCTGGTTTGTGCCGCTTGCTTGCCCCTTCCCTTCCCCCAAGGAGCCCGGGAAGCCCCGTAGTGCGGGGGTCTCGGAGGGCTGAGTGGGGCACGCTGGTGTCCTTTGGTTTCCCCGCAGTGACCAGCAATCCTTCGCTCTGTTTCTCTTCTTCCCCCCCCCCCTCTCTTCCCTCTCCTCCAGGTTTGGTTCAAGAACCGGCGGGCCAAGTGGCGGAAACGGGAGCGGAACCAGCAGGCGGAACTCTGTAAGAACGGCTTCGGGCCGCAGTTCAACGGGCTGATGCAGCCCTACGACGACATGTACCCGGGCTACTCGTACAACAACTGGGCCGCCAAGGGGCTGACCTCCGCCTCGCTCTCCACCAAGAGCTTCCCCTTCTTCAACTCCATGAACGTCAACCCGCTCTCCTCGCAGAGCATGTTCTCGCCCCCCAACTCCATCTCGTCCATGAGCATGTCTTCCAGCATGGTGCCCTCGGCGGTGGCCGGCGTGCCGGGCTCCGGCCTCAACAGCCTCAATAACTTGAACAACCTGAGCAACCCGTCGCTCAATTCGGCCGTGCCCACGCCCGCCTGCCCCTATGCCCCGCCGACCCCTCCCTACGTTTACCGGGACACGTGTAACTCTAGCTTGGCCAGCCTGAGACTCAAAGCCAAGCAGCACTCCAGCTTCGGCTACGCCAGCGTCCAGACCCCGGCCTCCAACCTGAGCGCCTGCCAGTACGCCGTGGACAGGCCGGTGTGAGGTGGAGGAGAAGGACCAGGCCAGCCTCTTCGGCCGGGGCTTCGGGGTGGCTGCTCTCCTGGCTGCGTGGGAAGGAGGGAGGGGGGAGGGAGGGAGGGGGAGGGCGGGGAAGGAGGGCAGGCGATCGCGCGCGACAGTCGGGAGGGACGGAGGAGGCTCCTTCGCCTCGGCCTCTTGAGGACTGGAGCCTTCGACCCAAAGCAAACGGGCGCTGGGGCGGGTGGGCAGAGAGCGGAAGGAGGAGCGACCGGGCGGCCGAACTGAATCTACCCAGGCGGAGGGAGAGGCAGAGGAGGGAAAACCCTTGAAATCTCGGCCTTCCTTGCTTTCCAAAGGGGGCTCTTCTTCGGCTCCTTAAAATAAATGGAAAGAGGGTTTTTTTAAAAAAAAAAAAATTGGGAAAGAAACGTTCCCGACCGAGACAAGGACATATATTATAAATATATATAAAATACGGACAAAACGTTTGACTGGATATGGTATGACATTTTAATGTTCCTATAAGCTTGTTATTTTTTATGTTTAGCATTGTTAACATTGAAAGGAAAAAAAATGACGGGAAAGGATGTATATATATATTGAAATGTCAAAATTAATTTTATAAAAGCAGTTGTTAGTAATATCTCCACAGTGTTTTTAAAAAGTTAGGCTTTAAAATAAAGCATGTTACACAAGAGAGTAGGGATTTCTTTTTTCTTTTTCTTTTTTTCCTTTTTTTCCTTTTTTTTCCGCTTGCGAGCAAGGGAATGTATATACTGTACTAAATGCAACACTGTATGTTTCTAACATGTTATTAATATTATTATTATTAAAAAGGAAGTCCCATTGTGTGAATATCAGTTTTAGAATAGTACCTCTGGTGGATGCAATGGTGACTTTTGAAACTTGCAATGTAAAACATACCCCGTGTATAACATTTCGTATAATTAGTGTTTTCCTTTTCAGCAACATTGGAAAAAAAAATGTGTTTCATGGGAGTAAAATATACAGCATACAGTTTGGTCTGGATTTTTTTTTTTAATTTTGAATGAATTTCCCAGAGAGGATTTCCCAAGTACTAAGGAAAAATAATACTTAGCTCTGAATCAACCTGCTATTTAAAAAGGGGGGGAGGAATTTATTTCGGTTTTTTTAAAATAAAAAATAAAAAAACCAAACCCGTGAAACCTTTATTGGGGCCTTTAAGCCTGAAAATGTCTGATTTTTCTCCTCGGAAATTGCCTCCGGCATAGCAGCATGAACGAGGTGTAAATAAAGTGCCGAGTCTTGCAAAGGTGGAGCCTGTTTTCCAGGACCGAGAGAATTAAGGCCTGTCATTTACTTCCTGGGTCGAATCAACCCATGTCTGAATGGCTTTGATCCAGAAGGTCTGATTCTCTTGACTCTCCACGAAGAAACTAAAAGCAGCCTTAAAGCAGAGGTTGATCTGGAGTAAAGCCTCACTGAAAATCTCCGGAATTTTCTCCCCATTACAAGATTGCTCTTCTGCCCCCCCATTTTAAAACTTGAGGTTTTACAGTTTTGAACCTTGGCCGGAGTGTGCCTAGTCCAAATAACTGACCAATAAAGTGGTCAGATCGCCCTAACGTTTCTCCCCCCACCGGTTTTTTTGTCTCTTTCTCCCTCCGCCTCTTTCAAACGAGATTCCTCCGTTAATTAAGGAGGAGCAGACCTTTGCCCCAAATCGATGCGAGCGCCTCCCCCCCACTCCCCAAACAATGACCCACAATTCCCTTGTGGACCGGCAGTGGGGGTGGGGGGGAATAAACGGGCTGAGTGTTTCCTTTAAAGAGGCTGGTCGGCAATTTGTTGCAATGTTTGGCTTCCAGCAGGGTGGACCTCCTTGCATCTTGAGCTGCTGGTTCTTAAAATCATTTCGGATTATGCTTTGCGTGTCTGCGGCAAGATGAATTAGCAAATCAGGATGAATTAGCCCGCCAGCTCTCCGAGCCTGGAGGTTCCGACACAGGGACAGACAAGAGCTAAAAGGTTTTAAAACAAAACTACGGTAAAATTAGGAGAGAAGGGGGGGGGGAATCCAGCGCGAATACAGTGGTTATGGCCAAAGGACTGGACTCGCAGGGGTAGGCAACCTTGGCTCTTTTATGACTCGTGGACTTCAACTCCCAGAATTCCCGAGCCAGCATAGCCGAATCCATAGCTGGCTCGGGAATTCTGGGAGTTGAAGTCCACGAGTCATAAAAGAGCCAAGGTTGCCTACCCCTGGTCACTGGAGACTGAAAGTCTTCCCACCTCTCCCCGGACGCCCAGATTTGTGTGTGTGTGTGTTTGTGTGTGTGTGTGCGGGTTTTGCTATGTTGTAACTTTATCAACAATCCCAGCACACAGACCTGCCTTTGTTCTGCTCTGCATCGTGGCCAAATAGCAGGGGGAGAAAGATCCAAGTTAAAGTCCATCGCTGGTGAGGGCCAGGCCCTACAGAGCAACTTCTCTTTTTCTTCCTTTTTGATTTTCCACAACAGGCTAGACCCCTGCCTGTGCACAAAAGCCTCTCTCCCCCCCCCTCCCCGTTTTGTGGACAGGGAAGGAAAGGCAGGGGAACTGAAGGAGGGGGAAGACTGCCAGGGGGAAGCCGGAAGTGTTCAGCACCTGAAGTCGCCTCAGCCCAAGCCAACTTGCAAGTCGCTTTGCGGCGAAATCCGGCAGCAGGCAGCTCATTCAACCGTCCATTTTTGGCTTGACCTGTCACGCATCCCTTCCACTCACAAACCCCTCGCCGCTTAATAGGATTCGGCGAAGGCTGGATTTATAGTTCACCGTCTGCAAAGACAGACCCTTCTAGCAACTCAGACACGCGTGGGCTCAATGTCCCAGAGTCCAGATCAAGAAAAATGGTTAGAGGAGGAGGGGAGGGGAAGAGAGTAGGAGGGGAGGAGAGAAAGAGGAGGGAAGTAGGGAAGGTTTAGAGAGGGTGGACGCAGCCTGGGGGGAATGGGCAGGCGGTACCAATGGTTAGGAATTTATTTTAATTGAATTATTTTGTATGAATAAAGGGAAAATAAAAACTTTTTAATAAAAAGAAAAAGAAAAATGGGCTCTCGTAGCAAAACCCCAAAGGGCTGAAGCCCCCCCCCTCCGAACTCACTCACCCGCGCGGGATACTCTGAGTCACTTAGATTATATAATCTTCAGGTTTCGGGGGAAACGTTGGTTGGAAAAAAAAAATCAGCACAAACACCAGGTGACATTTTCTTTCGAGTAAAAAAAAAAAATTAGTCGGAATCCGGGGGGGGGGGAAACGCGCGCCCCGTCAGATCTGAAAGTTGGAATGTTGAGGTTCCAAAATCACAGCTGAAGATCGATCTTTTCTGGATTTTATCTGGATGCAGATTGTGCACAACTTGGCGCCCTCCAGATGCGTGGGGCAGCCACTCGTTGCCACCTGAGAGTTGGTGTCTAAGGCAGGGGTAGGCAACCTCGGCTCTTTTATGACTCATGGACTTCAATTCCCAGAATTCCTGAGCCAGCATAGCTGGCTCAGGAATTCTGGGAGTTGAAGTCCATGAGTCATAAAAGAGCCGAGGTTGCCTACCCCTGGTCTAAGGCATCTGGAGGGCCTGAAGGCGGGAGGCCTCAGAGTGAAAAAGGCCGGTGTATGTGTGTGTGTGTGTGTGTGTGTGTGTGTGTGTGTGTGTCAGTGGCCTGCATTCACCCCAGCTCCAACTTTGGTAAAGGCAGGGCGGTCTGAAGGGTGGGGGGGGGGAGGCTACAGAGGCAGCCGGATCGGGAACTTTCTTCCTTATCACGCTGTTCCATCGCCAGGAGTTTGCTGTCTATTGATTCTCTCTTGTCAACACTTCAGATTGGGGAATGAGGGGTCTGGGAGATATTTATTACGGTTATTCTCCTACCTGCACAGTGTTTAAATTAATGGTAATTATTAATCCAGCTGCGGGCAACCCGAACCAGCACTTTGAAAAAAGAACAAGAGAATTCCTGGCTACGGTCTCTCTTTTTCGCCCATTCTGTTCATTCAAATGTATTTTATAGTGTTGCCCGTTCATTCTGGGATGGAGCGGTGGGCCTTAAACAGAGAGGGCCAGGGCTCCGGCGTCAAGGAGATTTAGAAACAAGTTTCGGAGAAATCAGGGCATTTACTTATTTACCATTCAAAGATTACGGAGTTGCAGTTTATAGACGGGTCCTATAGACGTTTCAGGATTAAACTGGATTTCAGTGGGCCTTTCTTCCCGCATAACCTGCTTCCGGACCGCAGCCTTAGTGTGTATCTGTAATCTCATTCGTGGCAATGGAGCATAAATGTACGTGGATTCGACCCATACATCGAGCCCAATGAATCCCCATGTGGGATTCTGCCCTTGTTAACTCGAGATCCGTGAATCCTGCTTGACTCTCAAAAAACACATTGCATTTTATTGTCTAAAATGGGAGACAAACTTCTTTTTCAGGCCAGCAGGTAGAGGGGGTGCAGGAAATGATGGTCCCCACCTCGTTTTAAGGGATTATTCTTTGTTCTTCTCCCCGTGTCCTTCTCTTCCTTTTTCGTCTCCTCCTTCTTCTGGCTCTGCATGACCATCTATTCCTTCCCAGGGACTTTTTGCATGCCTTGATCCCTTTCCTTGGCCAAAAATGGAAAGGCAGCGATGAGTGCCTTTTCTCCCTCTCTCCCTCTCTCTTTCCCTCTTCTCTCTTCTCTCTTTCCCTCTTCTCTCTTCTCTCTCAATATTTGGGGTTTACTCATAGCAAATCATACAGATTTGGCAGGCTCCCCCAACTGTCTGTTAGAATCGCAGGCGACCTAGGGACAGGAAGGCGGGAAGGAAGAAGAAGGCAGAGAGATGGGGTGGGGAGAAGGAGTAAAAGCCTGGGCTCTAAAGAAGAAATCCACATTGCTTTTCAAAGTTGCAGGTCTTAAGCACCAGGCCATCAATTAAGCGCCTGGAGTTGCTGCTGCTCCCTTGAGGAGTCTATTAAAAACACCAGCGAGATCCCCCACGGTTGAGCCCAGGCGTGTGAACAAACAGGGCTGTCTGGCTGGAATCCACATCGCAATCCACAAAAGAAAAAAACCCCGGCAGGGTCCCTCTCTCCTTTCCCCACCCTTCTGAGTCCAGAGACAACTCTCCCCAACAGCCCTTGCCTCTTCTTTGCCTTTCCTTCCGAGGCCCTGGCAGGCAGGGAGGCAGGGATAGCTGGGCGAGTCCCGTGTGTGTGCGCGCGCGTGCAAGGCCTGGAAGACCTCCAGCCTGGAAGTAGAGACCCTGCTTGGACTCTTCCAATTCCCGACTTGGTTCCCCAGCCATGGAACCCTTCCGAAGGTGCAGCTCGTCTGAATGTGGCCATACTCTGAATTCAAGGATGGGTGGTACTGGGGGAAAATGCAAGAGTTTGGTCATCTGTAATTGAGGATAGAATAAGCATTTCTAGACAGAAAGAAGGAAATGAATTAGCAAAGGGAGGGAGGGAGGGAGGGAGGGAGGGAGGGAAGGAGGAATTGTATCTTGTTGGAATTCTTAGGAATTGTATCTTGTTGGAGTTCTTTAATCGACCATTGGAATTCATAAAATCTGCAATTTCTTAACTTTTTGGAGGTAAGTCTTGCTATGCACAGTAGGACTTCTTTCTGAGGAGGTTTGGTACTGCAAGCAGTCAAAACTCAAACTCAGTCTAACTCTCGCCTCTCCTTAAAAATTGACTATTAAAATTACATTTCCTTTTGTGCCCAAATAGGCAATCTCAGTTCTTCTACTTTCTGGAGTTAATGGCAAAGTAGGCTGCTAAAGACTCAATCTTGGCTGAGTTGAAGAGCAATTAACAGTTTAAAAAAATGGCAGAGTGGGGTGGGAGTAAGAATGCCAGGAATTTATTTTAGTGGTGGCAAGGTCACATGAGGAATTTCCTACAAAAGCAAGAGTGGTGGGATGAGACAATATTTTCATTTATTTCATAATTAAGCTGCTTTATTATGACCAATATCACCTTGGAACATAGTGTGCCCTTATGAATTTAAACTG